GTAATAGGACGCTCAGCTTGATCCATTGGAAATTGTTGAAATGATTATTTGTAACAAATATTTGCCCATCAAATTGGCTCACTTACAGATGAGGTTAAAATACCACCATTGGGTCATCATCTAATAGTAAGAGCCTACTAGCAGAATTATAAACCCTATCATCCTATCAACTCACTAAGTATAGTGTAATTAAGCATAAATACAAGTTCAAGCCACCTCGCCCAAAAAGCAAGATGGTAAGGCCTAGCATCGTGGCTATTTCAATCCAAAATCATAAGTCTTAACTATAGGCCACAATGAAACATTTAAGTTGTCAGGCCTGCATCTAGGGTTGACCTCACACTTAAGGATACAATTCCAATTTGTTGGTCTCGCTATCATTAAAGGAATTAAGTTTGGACCCTTAATCAAAATCAATAAATAAATCAAGTACAATTTAACCAATAAATACAACTATAGAACACCTCACATACAAAAGAATTGTAAGACCTATCATTAAGTTGTCCTATAATAAAGAGGCAATAATTTCCTATTATAATCCCAGTTAATATCAAAATAACAAGTCATCCCTCTAAGAATATATATTAATAGAGTGGTGAACCCAAACTCTTAACCTTTAAGCCATGATAACACAGCTTGCAATAAGATATGCTTACACGCATTAGCATGAAACCATCTAAAAAAGAATTCAGAATTAATATTCATATTCAGAACACCTCGCATATAATGTAAGGTTGCAAAGCCCATCCTCAAACCTTCCTCAAATTAATTTGGGTTTTTAAAGATTTATCCAAGTAACATCTTGGATAAATTCTATATGAGGGGAATATAAACTTTGGCATCCTTAAGTTAGGTTATAACTCCAAAAGTCTCATACATAGCATTAGGCTAGCCTAATATCCCAATGGATCCCACGTATATTCTTCATCAGGTCAATAACCCCTATAAATCCCATGCATAGCTCGAGCAAGAACATAACCCTGTAATTTCACATTTTAGAAAGCTTTATAAACAAAGAAGTAAGCCCTAGACTCAATAATAGCTCAATTTGTTTGCCTAAGAAAATCCTATTCTTAAGGCCATGTTTTAGCTAGCCTGATTTAGCCAAGGGATCTCAACTTAAATAGCTCATGTAAAAAATAACCAACTTTTAACCACACAGATGTTATCCATTGTACTAAAGGGTGGGACCTTCAATGACCAAAATGATAAAGATACATGTTGCATATAACACACTCCATAGTCCTGTGGGTGAATTTAACATAAGAATGCCTAACCTCATCTTATATAGTTGATCCAATCATGCTAATACTAATAAGCAAGAGAACAGTGTATTGACACCTATAGTTATAGTCAATCATGAGTCAATTCCAAGAAGCTAATGTTAGTCGTAATCCAATAGTGCGTTGAACCTTCAATGGTCATGTCATTGAAACTCTAAAATACAATCAACCATATTGGTCCTCTCTGGTCTTACGTCCAAGAAGGTGCACCCATCGATACATAATCATTGTGATCTATTCAAGACGTCTAAAAAAGGGCCTTAATGACTACCAATCAAACTTCGATCCTCCCTCATTGGTATACTAAGTCTACTTACTCGACCAGATATGATAACACCGGTACATCTTAATTAGGTTGAACATCCATCCATATCTATTCCCCTGATACATAGTGTTTTACTAACAATCCAAATCACAATGATATCCTAATGATCAGCATTCATTTTTTACTTGTAAGACAGCTCAACTCATGTTCAAAAACCTAACTACCAAATAGCAAAAATTAAATGCTAAATAGCCTCTGTTCTCCATATAACTAATTGTGTTTAAAATGTAAAAAGATTAACATGTGGTTTCTTTCCTAAGTTAGACGAGCCATGATTTATAACAAACCATTTGATAGTTTAAATATCTTATGTTTGCAACTTGAAAATTATAAGAAATGATTTCAAAAGTGTGTACAATGCTTTTTTAAATTGTAATTGAATGAGCTTCGAATCTGAAATTAAATCAAAATATTTTCCTGATTTGAGTGTTTATTGTTGATTTAGTGATGTCAATTACAACTTATCACATACATATTATACAAATGAGATCTTCTGGTTTGATTTTAATCAAAATCTGGGGTAAGATATGAATAATGCCCAAACTTCTTATTTCTTTTCAGACAATACCTAAACTTAGATAATATATAAGCGATGAAAGTGTTATAATCAATAATGTTTTATTTATTTTTTTTCATTTTTTTATGATGGTACATGGATACAAGGCTGATTTACTCGTGATGTGTTTGGTGGTTTATTTAGCCTTATGGTTGAAATAAACAAGGTTGAATTGGCAGTCATTCCTCGTATGCGTGCCACCTTCATCAGCAATTAAATAAATTTACGTATACCTCTTCATTTGCACCTATCTGTCACCTAGCTGTCACTAACTCTTGACCTTTCCTCTGTATCTACGCATACTCTCATGCAAGCCATGACTTCAACAATGCCTACACTACATTCTCTAGTCATGACAGCCTTCTCTACTGATCGATTGTTCCATATTAGTTTCACTTCTACATGAGTTCTCAAGATGCACTGCTTGGTTTCAACCATTAAATTTACAGAGAATTGTCAACAAGGAATGAATTCAAAGGCCATCTCCTCGTGTGTGATCAGGGTAACTTATTGAATTACTGAGTTTGACATAATCTAGTTGCGTTCATCAAAGGCAAATCATCATGACACCAATCTATGATATTATTAGTTTGATTATTGTTACAAATCTTGTAAAGTTCCTAAAGTCAATGATCAAAGGACTTTGAAACGTGCTAGATGCATCTCTTATTAGTTGATCAAAGTTTGCAAATTATTTAGTTGCAAAGAGAGGCAAATAAATTTTTTTTTCAATTGAACAAAATTTAACATAAGATAAAATGGCTAGTTCCATTAATCTTAAAATAGATCATACTTTGGTAAGAAGATTTGGTAGACTATAAGGTAACGAACAAAGCAAGAAAAAAAAGATATACGCCTCTGAAGAGTAGAAAAAAATAAGTATTATTAAGGCTCATGATAAGTTAAAAGTCATATAAAAAAGGTAACGAGCAAAGCAAGAAAAAAGATAGATTTTGACTATTTATACAGTAAGCTTAGTACTAAGTAATGAAAAATTACTGAATGAGAATTATATGAGAAATTATTTTGAAAGAGAATGATAAGCAAAGCAATGAAATATATTATAAATTTGTCTAGAAATTTTTTTTAAAAAAAAAAGAGGTTAGCTCCAAATAAAATACATAAAAGTAAAACTTTAAGTTTAGATGCGATGCATATTGAGATTTAATAACCATTGGGATACAACAGTACAACAAAAACAACAAGGCCTTAATCCCACTACGTGGGGTCGGCTACATGAACCCTTTTTCTCCATTGTGTACTTTTTAGTGTCATATTTTCATTGGGATACAACAGTTAAATGGTTAAAAAAAAATTTCAATGAATCTTTTAAGACAAAAAGGAGGTCAATTGGTTAGATAAAGAGCATATTTCAATGCATATTTAAAAGAAAACGAGATGTTTAAGATTATGATAATTATCAAGGAATCAAATTTATGAATCATATATGAAAAATTATGAGAAACAAAAATGAAACATCATCTTAGAAATATTATACTGATTTTGAAGAATCAACTTAGTATCATGCCAAAAAATTTTCTGATGGAAGTAATTTTTGCCTTGAAACAATTAATAAATAAAGAAGGGGCATAAAGCTTTTACATCAATTTATTGATCATGAGAAGGCACGAACAAATGCAATAAAAATTTATTTGGAGTGGATTAAGAAAGGTGAATTTTAAAAGTATATAGTAGTTATTTTAGATATGTATGATAAAGCATTAACTAGTACTAAATGTAGTTGCGAGTGAGCAGAAAATTCCCAATTATTGTAGGATTAGATCAAAAGTCAGTATTGGGTCCATATTGTTTGACTTCTAAAATTAGTTTTGAACATGCTTATAAAGAACAATCAAGTGAGGTATCTCGGTATATGCTTTTCAAAAATGACATAGTTCTACATTCTAATTTGTGAAACGTCTATTGAAAACAGAGAGAAGATTAAAACAAGAAAAGAACTATTTAAATATAGAATGTTTAGAATTAGTAGAATAAAAAATTATATATGATAGATAAGTTTGTTGGATCTAATATGAATATGCCAGTCAATATTATTAAAAGATAAGGTGATATATATATATATATATGAGATAGGTTTAATTATCTACAAATCGCTATACAAAAGAGCGAGAATATATATTCGGATATTTTTTATAAATATTGGATGTTTATAATGGTGAAATGCCCCAATCATGCAATACAATAAGAATATATCATAAAGATATAAAATTATTTTTTTAGTTGAAATTATACTGGCAAATAGTATATGAATATTAGTTCTGAGCATTAAATAGGTTATTGATAGCTAAGTTGAGCAAGTGATGAGAAAATTAAAATGGATAGGTGAGAAAACTAGAAAAGATAACTTAAAATTGATTATATTGAAGGAATGGTTCATGTAATATCTATTGAAAATAAGGCAATCAAAAATGGACTTTAATTGTTTGAAAATATACAATAAGAGGAAAAAAATGAAATGGGTGGATAGTTGTATAAAGCTTTTGTCTAATAATAGAAGAGAATAAGGGTAAAGATAACTAATATAGAAGTTATTCAACACGGGACACATTTAAGACCTCGAGTGAATACAATAAAAACGAATGAAAATAAAATAAGCGGCCCCGAATAATTAAACAGAGCTAATGATAATAGTTCATAAATTATTTAAATTTGATGCTCATCCCCTTCCATAAATCCAAAACACTCCCCGTTCTCAAGCAGCTCCTTGTTTGATTACATATGGATCCATGGCAATATAGGGATACATTGTGCCCTATATACTAAGGAAATACATTGCCTCTTACACATTAGCTAAACTAAATAGAAAAATATCTTCCTCTTCCTTTTTCAAAATATATGGCCATATTTGATTGAGAAAAATTGCATGCTAAATTACTAATTGAGTACACATCAAATTTACCCTGACATTAAACAAACTAAGATTCATTTTGCCAGATCAAAAAGCCTTTTTCAGTCCATTTTTCTTTGTGCAGCTCATCCTAGCCGTGAAGAGTAAGCTCAACCAGATTAATACAATCCGATTTTGAGACTCACTTTTACAAACTCTATAGTCTTATTCAAGCAAATACGGATACAACTTTCACAGAAATGAATGCCTAAAATACCATCTGCTTCTAAACATAAATCCCTTAAGGATGAAAAGTAATAAGAAAAAGGAAGGCAAAGTAATTATTACAGATTTTTTATGATGGCAGCATAAGATCACTATTCCTAGTAAATTACTTTTCATTCCATGAATTGAGGCGACCTTACCTGTCTCTCACGAACTCTGAAACTTGAAACTAAGTCAGCTAAGCAGAATAAGTGAATTGCTTTTACCCCTAATTCAAGCTTCTCCCCGTCCTAATCACAAATAAAGAAAACATTTAAAATAAAAATCTATAACAAAGTAAACGGGGATGACAAATAAGATACTATGCAAAAGATATATTTGGCATGTTGAAAATGTCTGAAAGCGTCCAAAAATTCTTCAAATATAGATGGTGCCAATTAGTACCCATCTGAACTACTAAATTTTCTCCATCATTCAATCAGAATCAACCATGGAAAGCATCAAAAAAACATAAACAACTGATAAAAATGTAGAACTACAAGATAAGAGACTTTAGCTTGGTGTTTGGCTCGACTATATCAAATTGCCAAGCAGGAGCAGATGACATGGGTAGAAAAGAGCAAAAAAGAAGAGGGTGAAATTTCTATAAATAGCAAAGTAGCCTCATCTTGGCAACAATAATGCAAAATATTTACTATCAAAGTTAAAAGCAGTCGCTAATGTCTAAAATGGAATTAAGAAATAAAAAATTTTAGAAGGGCAAAGCGGCGAAAGAATGAACTGAAAATATTGTGTGAGCCTCATAACCAGCACATAGATAACATAGTAAATCACATGATGCATGCTTGTTTCTGTTTAACTTTCTGAAATGAAACCTAAGATTGGTGAAATTTGTGCCAAGATTACTTTAAATGTGAATAGTTAACCTTTCAAGGTGTTAATTTAGGCAAGAGATTCGAACCCCAAGGATGAAACAAGGTTAATGTGGGACAACACAAACAGATGAATTAGGAAGACTTCCAATCCAACCATAAAAGGATTTGTGGTGGAGCGAGATCTTAAAGGATTTCTTTTTTTAAGAAAATTATTTTAAAAATTGATAGATTCAACATATTATTGAGTTCCAAAAAAGGTGCCAATGGAGGATTGAAGAGTTGTGTGACATTCAATTTATTTTGTTAACAAATTTTTACAATAGAATTTTGAAGGCCACAAAAATATCTAATAACCATATAAGTATATTAGTAGCATCATTTTCAAACAAAGGAAATAACAATGTTTTAATGATTACAAGGAAATCAAACATATAAAGAAGTTACGAGGATTATTGAAGAATTGACTTACAGTGCATTATGAAAAAAAAGGTAGTCAAAGGTATCTTAAAGTTATTAAAAATATAAATGATTATGTATTGATTAGTATTACTCATTGTAAAGTAACTAAAGAGTTTATAATTATAGCAAAATTAGATTAAAAAATCACATTGTATTCGTTTTTTTTATTATTATCTATGAAGATGCTTATAAAAAAAATTCAAAGTGTGGTGCTCTCGTACATATTTAAAAAAAAATTCTATTTGATAATGAAATGAGTGAAAAATTAAATGATGAAAATCATCTTCAGTTATCGAGCATAGAAATAGAATAATAAAGATTAATTATAAAATATTAAAGATTAATTATATGATATATAATTTTAGTGCATTTGATATTAAAAATTATTAATCAAATATTAGAAGATAAAGTAATAGCTATTTGAGAAGATGAAAAATTAAAAGAGAATATGCAGGTGTCAGAGGCTATTGCAGTATGCCTCTTTAGACTGACATGAATGAAAAGATATGAACCAGGATACAAAATATAAAACCTTTATAGAGAAGGATCCTCAAAAGATATTTTAGTCGAATTGTTTCCAAAAAGCATTCATCCCTATCCTTACCTTACAAAGGATAAGGCTATGCTTTTCTCTACATACATTCTCACTCATAAAATCAACTTCAATTATTACAGTATTATTTTTCAAAAACTTTTTAATACCACTTTCTTTAGCATGAATTTAAAAACTAGGCACAAGGAATTTTCTCCATAGACCCTTGGAATTTATGCTAGACCTATAATCAGCCAAAGGAGTTAGGTAAAGTTTGCAAGGTTTAAAAAAATTTCAACTTCAATACATAATCCATACATATATCTTAGATAAAGTTCCAAAGAAATAAAATATAGGCTAATTAGTCAAGGGGTTTAAGTCCAATTTTTCATGAAGTTCAACCATCCATAGATCAATCTTAATACATTTCAGATGGATATATTTAGGAATAACTAATTATCTCATGAAATAGAGGCATGTTTGCTTGACCATACTACAAAACATATTTTTTTTATAATGGAGCAACAATAACTTCTAGTTAATCTGACCAATTATGGGATGAGATATAAGGCCAAATGATAGCGGCATAACATTTACTCCTTCATCTGACCAACTATGGCATAAAATATAAGAACAATCCAAATCCTATCAGTAAACCAAAAAGGTTTCTAAATCTAGCCTAATAGGAGGATTATCATCCGAATATCAAGCTTCGTTTTCAAGTACAATTAACATTTAAAAAGACCAATAATGGTATATGAAGAATTTTTTCAACCCAAAGAAAATGAATAAATTGATAACAATCAGTTGTTAACACTATCAACTAAGTTATGTACTTAACCTATTTATCCATTTACAAAAAAGCCATCACATCAATAACAATTTCTCAGCTCGCTCCATAGCATTGTTATCTACGCATCCAACTGGAAAACTTTACATCAAAACTTCCCTAGAAGCAAAAAATATTTTCGTTGTTAATATAGTATCACTTGAGAACTCATATTTTCAATGAATATCATAACATAAAGCTTTAATATAGGCGGATTTAAACTGAGATGCATCCAATAACTCTAGAAAAACTCAAGTAGTAATTGAGTTCAAAAAATCTCCGAAATGTTTCCTTTACAACACCAAGATTTTTGGAAATTTCATAGCTAATTAAACAATATCATTTCTTATATGCTAAATGAAATAGAGGGCAGCAATGATTTACCGACTCCTGAACTATAGGTCAAGGTAAAGCCCGCCGACATCAATATGCCGCAAATCCAACATTTATTGACTAGTGTCGCATACATTGGGTACATTCTTTCATGGATATGTAGCTCAAAAGAGATTAAACTCAACCAATATTTTCCTCTAATAGTTTCTTAAAATGCAATTTCCTTTCACAAAGACTCGTGATATTGAATCACACAATATTTAATGAAGAATATAGAGCAAAGTACAACGAATGTACATAAAGAACATACAAAATTGGCAGGCCAAAGATTCTGACCATGATCAATTTAGTATGTGGTGAAAGGAAAAAAAGCCTAACCATCCAAAACCCCTTAAATAAACATGGACTAATGGATCACCCACTCATTGCTAGTAAAGTTGCAAAAGATAAATAAATAAATAAATAAATAAAAATGCATCAAACTTGCTTATAGACAATAGGTAAAGGAATATATTGAAAGGAAAAAAAGCCTAACCATCCAAACCCCTTAAATAAACATGGACTAATGGATCCTCGAATTGTTAGCCACATTAGGAGTGATTGGAGGCTCATATAATAGCATCTAGCCATTCCTTTATAATATATATCAAATACAAACAAACACAAGGAATTGCATACACTCTAATTGAAGCATCGAATAAATGATTATCATAAAAGCTAATGCAAAGCAAAATTGAACATATGTTAGCACCTTCAGCCTCCAACAATAAGAAAAACAAACCCGTGCACATGAAGCTACTCATGGAAGAAACTTGCAAATATCCTCATAATCTACCGCCTGAAGCACCCTCCCGTCATAAATCCCCTTCTCAATTTGAACCTTCGCACAAAACCTTTCAGTTTCAACAGAAAGTAGTCTCGCAGAGGAACCTCTATAAGCCCCATTCACAATCTTTACAACACCTCCAATCTGTGGAATAACCGTCTCCAGCTCCTCTTGATCAATCCTTAACACATGCTTGTTCTCTAGAATTTCAATCTCCCCTACATACTTATCAATTACCTTTCGTACAACTCCTTTCTGCTTATAATATCCCTTATCTATCAAGGTCTTGCTCATCACCTTCACCACAATCCCCTCACATAGCCAGTAGTCCTTTCTATTCATTCTCTCTTTTGTGATCTCCTCTTCCTTCATCAATTCATCCAGTGCTGATTTGCCACTAGTAGCTGCATTGCAAGCATTACCAGAAGCAGACTTGGCCTTCTTAGCCTTCCCTTCAAACTCAGGATCCTCACCAAACCCCAAGTTTGCATTGTTGCTTATAGGAATGCCACTCTTATCCCCCGCGACAATAGGTTTTGAAGATGCTGCTGAGGCGGGTTGGATTGAAAACATAATCTTCTCCAAAGATTTAGTCTGCTGAAGCTGAGTGTCCTCGTATTGGGGTGTGTTCCAAATTTCTTCAATGGAGTCGGATGTGGAAGGGAGGAGGGCGACCGCACGCTCAATTTGTTTGGCGATGACACACTCCTGGCGCTCCTCCTCAGCCAAATCAGACTGCATCCGTTTGTTCTTTAGGCGGTCCTTGAAAATAGTCTCTGAGTCTTGATCTATGTAAGTGATGAACCAACCCTTAGGTGTCTCCTCGACCTTGCACTTGCTGGTACGTCCAAGATACTTGACAAACTCTGTAAGGGTTGCCCACTCAGTGGAGTTCATGTGAATGTGGTGGCGATCCGAGATGTACTCATTGTAGACAACGGTGGCAGCCACGCGAGAGAAGCGGTGGGAACGGCGCATGTGGTCAAGGAAAGTGCGCTCAAACTCCTCCGAGTAGCCCCCAATGACTCGGTTAGGGTTCAAGCCAAATACCTGCATCTGACGCTGATGGCTCTCGCTCAAGCAGTGACACTTGAAACCGTTCTCATCCCGGCACTGCTTCTGGCACATTTGGCAGTACCATCGCAGCTTCTGCAGCCCTTTGGCTTTGATCCTGTTCGCGATAGCCTTGGGCGTGAGGAAATCGTTCTTGCCCATGCCCTGATTTCGCTAACTTCCAAAGTTCAGAAATGCACCTCTTCTTGATAAGCTTAACGTGGCCTTAAAGGGCTCTTTGGTAGCAGAATTTGAGTGGGATTTAAGTCAAACAAAATCCTGCAGGTTCGGATTTAGAGCAGGATTTAACCCAAATCTTGCCAGGCGATCCTGGATAAAATAAAAATTCTTCAGCCTTAAACCCGTAAATCCCCCACGAGCTTTCGCGGGAAAAGTAAGATATGAAGTTACCTTTAGGAGGAACAGAGCGGAGCGGAAAGAGAAAGATAGGGATTTCGGGTCTCTGTACACCGCGATCCCGTCGTCCGTCGTTCCTTCCCAGTTATCTCTAATCGCAAGGGTTTGGTCGGGAGATAGTTTTGGGGGCGAAACTAGGAAGCCGGGAGAGGGGCAAAGAAGTCGGCGAGGATTTCGACCAAAGAAGACGAAGGTTACAGGCAGGAAGCGACTCGACCCGACCGTGTGGCGCCATTCTGAATAGCTTATTGAGTTGATTTTGTCATATTATTGTTCTTTGAACAAGTGTACTAATAACACATAAATAATATATAAAATATTATTTCAATAACACAATAATAACACATCAATAACACACTAATAACACATTAAAAACATAAGACTTACCTCGACCGTGTAATAGGAATATTGTGTTATTCATATAATATTTGTGTGTTATTAAGTTGATTTTAAGATATTACTATTCTTTAAACAATAATATCAATAATACATGAATAACGCGAAAAATATTACCTTAATAAGACATCAATAACACATGAATAACACACCAATAACAGATTAAAAACATATTAAAAACAGAGTCTGAGATGATTTTGAGATGTTATTTTTTTTTAAAATAACAGTACTAACTCAAAATCACTTTCATAACACATTAATGACACATCATTAAAGTTTTTATCTTGTCATTTGGTTGAACCACCTCAATAATACACCAATAACACATAAATAACGCGAAAAATATTCAGAATGATGCAATAGAATAACCACATGTAATGAAATATTCCTATAACGCATTAGTCGGGTCAGGTCGCACGTTTTCATTTTTTCTTTCATTTTTTATACAGGTGTGTCCGACTTTCCACGTGTCGGCTTAAGATTAGAGGAGTCCTCATTTAATATTTTTACTACCGGCAGAGGGGAGAGAAGGGAAGAGAAGATAGACGGCAATTTTATTTTATGTTTTATTTAATTTTATTTTATTATTTTAATTGAGTAATAATTAATAACTAACTAATTAATTAATTATTAAATTAATAATTTTAATTAATTAATTTAGATATAGTAATTTAATAGTTAAATAGTGAAAAAAATAATTAAATTTTAAGTATTTTTAATTTATTTAATTAATAATTAATTAACCTAAATTGAATGTTACCGTATTCTGTAATTAGTAATTAGTTTACTAACTTTTAAATTAATAATCAATTAATTAGATATGTATAATAAAATATACATATTTATATATAGATAAAAGTGATATTAATGGAAATATTGAAGTTTAGATGTTAGATATTTAATATATATTTTTACTATTTTTCAAAACTAATTATTTTACATAAAAAAATGTGTCACCATGAATCACGAGATAATCTAAGAATCCAAGATCAAAAGAAATATGACAAGGATCCCTAAGACGAAAAATCACAATGTCAGCGTGGAATGTGTCATTTGCATCTTGAAAGTAATTTAAATTTAATATATATATATCTATCCTTACCTTACATTTTAGAAAAATAGTATTTTTATTTTGAAAAAGTAATATTTAAAATATTGAAAATACGAGACTGAACCGATTTCATATAGATAGGGCTGTCAAAAAAGCTCGTTGTTCGCGAACAGTTCGTGTTTTGTTCGTCAGGGAGTTCGTGTTCGATTCGTTCGATAAGTAAACGAGAAGAGCACGAACAATTTTTTTCAATCGGTATGTTAAACGAATCAAACACGAATTATCATGTGTTCATTCGTGTTTGAATCATTATTATTTGAAATATAAAATAACTCAAAATAATTATATATATCAATATATACAAAGTAAAATGTCAAACCCATCCTAAGAGTGTTCGGTTGTTCTACACTTCGGCCTCCTTTCCCCTCCCGAAAGCTTTCAGTTTCCGCCAGCTCTCTTTTGTCTCTCAAAATCATGGAAAAAATTTCTCTCGTCGAGAGCTTAGGGTTGGTTGTTTGTGTTCGTTCTCTAATCTCTACTATTTGTCTTCTATGAAGTATATCTATCGAGTCGGCGTTGGATCGACTATCAGTGTTTGGTTGTTTGATATTCTCGCTTAGTTGCTTGTAAGGCTATGAAGGTGTTATCTCTGAGTATATTTTCTTTAACTTTTCATATATATCTTCAGGTTCTCCTTTTTAGCTTAAGTTTTCATAAATTTGTTTTAAATATATTTAATTTTTTGAGTGATACCTAAGTTTTGACATTTTTGGGAGTGAAATATCACATAAAAAAACGTTATATTGCCTCTAGATCTGGTTTTGTTGTCAGCATTGAGCTCTGTTTGGGTATTATGATTCCCATAACAGAAATCAGGATTTACAGTTAGCATCTTGTTGAACATTACTATTCATAAAAGTTTATTAAATGATTTTCATGAAATTTTATTAAGATTCCCTTAATAGAAATCTGGATTTATATTTTTAGGGTTTAGTACATACAGTCTTTGAAGAGGACACATTGTTGTTGTTTTTTTGAATTAGATTGAGATCTTATAGATCCAGCTAAAGCATTTCTTTAAGTAGGCCATGGATAATTCAAATAATATAAACAAAATTGAAATAATTTCGAACAATTCAAACAAATCGAACAATTCAAACAGATCGAACAATTCGAATAATTCGCACATTTCAAACATTTTGAACTAATTTCGAACAAATCGAACCGAACACGAACAGTGACTTCACGAATAATTTCGAACGCGAGCCTATTTCAAACAAACTAAATTTCAAACGAACCGAACACGAACAAGGGATCTGCTCGTTCGTGTTTGGTTCGTTTACACCCCTGCATATAGACAATAGTTTAAATAAACGAGCACAACACTGCAATTGACATACTTATTCGAGGAATAGATATATCACTTACTAGTGAGGCTCGATTAAATAAACTAAAGAATTTAAGACATTCGTTTGGTCTATGAATCATTTTTTGTTTAATCCGACAAGTTCCTCTATCTAATATGGAATATTAGATAGGGTCTTTATATTGAACTGTGTTCTTAAAGTTTTCTATAAGGGTAAGCCCCTATAATTAATTACATCTTAAATGACCAAAGTCACTTAAGAAAACTCTCGATTTAGATCATAAAATCATGCCTTCAAGAATTTCAAAAGGTTAGGATTCTCAAGGTTGGACAAAGGAGTGTTGAATTAGATAAGATCGAATTTGGAACATTTTATTTTGAAATCCAAAGGAAGAAAAACTAGGGGATGCCACGGATACTAAGGAGAACCTCGGTGACTCCCAAGCTATCCTATAGTTCTATCCTATAGTTTGGTTTTATAGTTTGGTTTCAATTTTGGTGAGAAGATATTAAATGTTTCATCCTACTAATTTTATTATTACATGGGGCTTACATTTATATGACAATCATACAAATAGTATAGAAGATAGGAGGGTTTATGTCATAACAAGTGACAACCTGTGAACCTAAGACAAGTTAGGGCTTAGATTGCACAATATGATTGTGCAAATGTCTAAAGATGAGTTGAGGATTAATGTTGTACTAGGCGGACAATCTCGAAGTCCTATGAATTGTTGCTTAATTCTAAGGAAAGATTTATTGTAGTAGATCCTCATGTTGTTGTAGATCCTCATGTTGTTGTAGATCTTCATGCTGTTGTAGATCCATTTGCTCTCTTAAAGTTGTTCTTCTGTGCATCCTTGTTGTGCTGCCCAAGAAATTAGCTCTAAGCTCCTTGTCGATGTAGCAATCATAAAGTCAGTGGTTTAAGGGTTTAAATGAAAAGTTTTAGTTCAATCATTATGGGGCATTATGGGGGGGTTAAAGTTATGGGGGGGTTAAAGTTGATTAGAGCGACACCGGTTATGATCTCACGGCTCCCTCATTCCGGTACCACTATTTTTTTTTAATATTTACTTGGCTTAAACGAGTTGTTAAACTCATTTAAACTGGGAAGATCTCGTTAGCAACCGTGGGCTACCTCATCTGAAGGTCTTCCGTAAATTCAAAAGGACGTGTTATGAAATTGTTATTTTTATTTTGATTTTTGAAATGTTGTTTAATTTTAAAAAAAAGAGTTGATTGGTTTTGGAAAGTTTGTTTTTGTTTTGCAAGTGAAGTAAATCTACAAACAAGCATGTATAATAATTTAAAGAAAGAATAAATTGCAGTAAGTAAAATGATAGAAATTAAATAAAACTATAAAAAGTGTACATGTCATCTTCTCGCTGCTCCAACTGAAAGATTAGCCTTTCAGTGTATATAATTTCACAGAAATTTAAATAAAGTTACAAGAAAGGAAAACAGGGAAGAAGGTTCACCCTACCCCTACTGAGTTTTGTGTTGCAACCTGATGGCTTCCTAGAAGTTTAAATTGATGATTTTCTTAAGTAAAGTATAATAGTTTCATTAGTCCTTCAAAACATCCAAAAGATCGTAAAGGTGTTTGGAGCATGCCCCCAAGCAATTTTTAAAATCTTGAATTTTTTGAAACATCCTCGACTTCATTTGAACGTATTATATTGTTTTGATAATCATCCAAGTTAAACTTAGGGTTTGACTGATTAAAGTATCCTATACTCAGTGAACATGTTGTTTTAATCATCTCATGAGAGGGGTACTTAATTAGTCATTTAATATTTCAGTTAAAAGTTATATAAATGGGTACCCTTGAGGGTAAGATTGGGTTATTAAAAATTTATGCCTACAATTGAAGTTGGGCTTGTAGTGTTTGAAAAGTGTTCACAATTAGTTATGTTTCCTAAACCTCATTAAGCAAATTCGAATTAAGTCTAGTTCACTACTAAACCCTTAAGACTTATGTGTAGATGAATTCAGGATTTCTTTAGGATGTTAAATTATATGGTATTTTAATCCTCATAAATTATCATAATATTACTCAAACATTAACTAGGGGATTTAAATTAGTGAATTATCATCTTCCAAAATCTAAACCCTCATCTTAGAATCACTTAATTTAATTAACTTTCAAATTATAAGAATTGAGGGGAGTTAAAATCATAGCTTTATTGTAGAAAGGTTAGGCATTGGTTTCTACCATTTAATCACTTGTTTTTCAATCATCCAAAAGAGTTCATTATGATCAAAATTACCCATTTGCCCTTTAATCAAGTTCAGCAGTCCCACTTCATAACTTATTAAATATAATTCAAATAACTTTAAAATTTTTATAGTATCTCACTCATGGGTCAAATAAATCATCAGAGGAGAAAATGTGATTTTCAAAGTTTAAATTTAATTAAAAAAAT